TGTGTGTGTGTGTGTGTGTGTGTGTGTGTGTGTGTGTGTGTGAATGTGTGTGTTCGTCTGTCCGGGTATTTCAACTCGACAAACAAGCAAGCTCCGGCGCCAAAATTTTGCTAGTGAATTTCCTGGCCAAGTACCAACTTAAAGATTTCAAACCCAGCCTCCAGGTACGTTCCCAGGTCACGTGCGGCCCTGCAAAAGTTTTGGCAGGAAAATTGCTAACTTGGAAACCAGAAAAGCTGGAAAGCTGATATTTTAAGAGAATATTCTCCGTCCAAATAAGATTTAAAAGTTTCAAATTCAGCCTCCACGTACGCGTGGTTCTGTGTACGAGCACTTAAGTTTTTGGCGGGAAAATCATATATTGAACGGGTGGACAATTTTCAAACCCAGGCTGGAACGCACCAGGCAAGCCGGTGCGATCATGCGTTTTATCGCACTTAAAGTAATTAGGTCAATTGCATGAACGGTTGTTTCTTCACACCTACCTTGTGAGCTCAATACCGTAAATCATCGTAAATTTTGCATAAAAGGAAACAAACAATTTCCGTTTAGCACCGATTTTTGAAAATGACCCAGCTGTTCAATGAGTAATTTCCCCGCCAAAAACTTAAGTGCCCGTACACGAAAAGCACGCGTATATGGAGGCTGAATTTGAAACCTTTAAGCTGTTTTTGGACAGAGAATATTCTCCTAAAATTTCAGCTTTCCAGCTTTTCTGGTTTCCGAGTTGACAATTTTCCCGCCAAAATTCTCACAGGGCCGCACGTGACCTGGGGAGCATACCTAAGAGCTGGGTTTGGAATCTTTAAGTTGTATGTAGGCTGGAAACATTCCTTGAAAATTTCAATCTCCCAGCTTGCCTGGTTCTCAAGTTAGTGATTTTCGCATCAGGAACCCTCACGGGGCTGCGCGTGGGAACCATGTACACCCGGGAGCTTAATCTTTGAGTTCTATGTGGACAGAGAACATAATCTCAAGATTTCAGTTTTCTAGTTTTTCTCGTTCCCGAGTTAGCAATTTTCCCGCTAAAGCTTCCACCTCTCTTACGCGGAATACAGACTTGCGTAAAGATTGGTACCGCGGTTCTGGGATGGCACACGACCGGGGAACGCACTAGCAAAATTTTGGTACAGGAGCTTGCTTGACTGCGGAGTTGAAATGCCCGGACAGACGAACGCACGCACACACACAAACACACACACACACGCACACACAAACACACACACACACACACACACAGGGTTGTTGCAGTATGCATTTTTGCAATTTGTATATAAGCAAAAACGCGTAAGAACGACCGCTTTGCTTATTTCTTTTTATGCAAAATTTACTATGATTTACGGTATTAAGCACGCAAGGAGTTGTAAATAAACAACCGTTCATGCAATTAACCTAATTACTTCAAGTCTGGTGCAAAAACGCATAATCGCATCAGCTTATCTGCTGCGTTCTAGCCTGGGTTTGACAAACGACCACTTGAGCAACACTTCCACTTTTTATTGAACTGGAAATTTGCATTTTTCATTTTTTCAAAAAGCAAACATTTACTGAAAACACGACCGGGCTTCACGCAAAAAACTGGTAATTATGTACCTGAAGGTCCGTGCGGCTCTACAATGCACCACCTTTATCCCAATCGACGCGCTTCCTCCTGCATGCTGAAAGGAGCCTAAGCACGGTCAATAGGAGCCAAAGTATTAGGCTACAGCGCAAAGATCATTCCTGCAATTAGCGACTTGCGTGCATTCCAGCCTGGGTTAACTTTTTCAAGGCGGTGTGAAGTCTGGAAGCATGAAGAAGGGGAGGGGCAGACGGAAGCAAGGAGAGGAAAAACTAAGGAGAATAGATGGAAGGAAAGAAGGCAGGAGGTAAATTTGCCACATTAATTTACAGCATCAAACTATCAGTTACTGGCATAGCACACAACTTGTCGTGCTCTCTTAGTTGCAGTGATATCCTCCGCATAGCTTATCTGGTAAAGAATTCAGTTGAAAAAACGCCCAAAACATGCTATATTTAGCTCTCGCAAATTTTGCTCTTCACCTCTCATCAGTGAGCATGTTTCGCATTCACACACCACTGTCTTCCACATAATTCTAGACGGTTTTTCAGGTTCGATACCTTAAGGTTTTTGTTCGACAGATCTGCTCAACCGGCAACTCTTGGAAATGCACTTTTCCGGTTGGAGATTATCGAAATGTGAGAGGAAACTACAAATAAAAA